TGGTTGCTTTTTTGGCAGGGCAGGGGGGTTTGTTCACATATAAAACTTTACAAATAAAATAACTCATACTATATATTTCAGTACAGAAATCTGGATTCCAGAGAAGTGTTTCTGAGTGTAAATAGGTTTTTATTATATATTTGATTTCTGGCAACTACCTGGGCTAGGCATACATACACACACACACACGTATATAAGAATGGTATATAATAGTATATAATTCTACTATATATTATTCCTATATTTAATATATATCTCCACTAAAATAAACAAATTATTTTTGAGAAATTAAATACATATAAAAATACAATGAAGTTTCAAGCTAATAATTTGACAATCACATTTCTAGACCATAAGCCCCGAGGCAAGAAAATGAGTGACGATTACCTAAAATTGATACTAGGATAGTTTTAAAAAATCCAGCATTATTTAAAGAACTATTAAATAACACAAGATTTAAATATTCTTGCCAAATATTATTTTAATTCAAGCTTTTTCTCTAGCATAGATTTTTAATTGCATGTGTTAAATTAGCTGTGCTCATGTGAACATATGAATTTAACTCAATATGGAAACCCTGTAATTCAGCAATTAGCTAGGTTATGAAGTTTGCCATGTGGAATATATTTATACAAGAATTCCACAAAACTATCAAATTTTATAAAATATCTGCATTATAAATACTGCTGAAATCCGAAGTCATTTTTGCCAATCCATTACTGCATTGTTTACTTAAGAAAACTACCATCAACATATTACTGTACTGTAAGTTGCAATTTGCTCTTAGTATATTGCTCTTAGTATATGTTGGAAAGACATGATGATCTAGACTAGGCCTGGACAACTTATAGAGAGGAAAGGGCCACATTGATTAAAATTATTTTTATTTAAAATAATCACAGACCACAAGGAATACCTGATATGCCAATCAGCTGTTTGGTGACTGGCAGCGCAGCAGTGACGGAGCTGGTGGTGTTGGTGAGGCCTGGAGGCGTTGGCAGCGTGTTTTTGGTGGTAGCGACAGATTTATTGAGTTTTTAAGAAATGCTGACGGGCCACACAAGGCTGCTTGGTGGGCTGTATGTTGGGCAGGTCTGATCTAGACTGTGGTAACTAATCTGTGTAATTATGTACAAGAAATTAAAATGTACTCTGCTGGTAAATCTGGGGCAACTGTTCTGTGCCAGCCTAAACCAATTCACAAGGTTGCTGTGAGAATGAAATGGGGGACAAAGCACACCAAGTCTTCAAAGGTGGCTGGCACAGGGTGGGATGCAATATATAGAGATAGATTACAAAAGGAGATGTGTGTGTCATGCTCTTGAATGTGACTGACAAATCCCAGCAAGAGCCAAGTGTTTTTGGCATCCAACTGCAATTCATTTTAAAGAAGCATTAACTGCGAAGCAAGCAAGATGCAAAGGTATAGAAAATGTTCTCTGGTTCTTCAGAGTTAAGTTTCCTAATTCTCTCCCTTGACAACTCTTAGCAAACATTCCTTGGAAAGCTGCTGGATTATGTCAAAAGAGCCACATCATCATGTTCCAGCTGACAGAAACAAAGCTCACTGTTGCTGCTTCCCTCCGTAGTTCTTCCTCTGTTCGTGCATACTAATCATAGCACTTCCTGCAAGGAGCAACACTTGGATCCCAGAATGCTTTCCTTCAGCAAATGGGAATGGGAGGAATGATTAAACCAAATACATATATGAAAATGTGTATTCCAACAAACTAATTTTTTCTACAGGCTGTTGTCTGTGTTCGGATGGAAGCATTACTGTACAGGCAAAACCCAACAAACCCAGTAATTATTGGTACTATTTAAATGTGCTATTGCAGTATCGCCTCCAGCTGCTTGTTAACAATGAAAGAAGTATAAAAAAAGAAAAGGGAGGTACCAAATCTTACTGCAAGAAACAAAATAAGCCCATTTTTGTTGATACTTCATTACCCATATTCAGCAGCAGATTTAAATCTAAAAGGAAGCTAATCCGATCCAAAAAATTAATCCAAGACATTTGTCCATAATGTAACATTTTAAAATCAATCAATATAATAGTAGTTTTGTCTATGGAACACACATCTGCAAAAGCAGAGAACTGAAGTGCTGGAAGAAGCCCCCAAATATCATTCTCATCCTGAACGTTTTGAATTTCATAGCTCACAATATCTTGCTGTTGCCTGAAGTTAATTCAAACAGTACATAGAATTCCTCCTTGTATATCCCCTTCCTCTTGCTTTAAAGATGATAATTCAGCAATACCTTTTGGAGGCTACATCAAAGGCTTTGTGGGACTGCTATGGGAGTTACATTCTTCGTCTCAAGGCCAACTTCTCCCAGATTTAGAGCCTATAGAATTTTTTGACCATACTAGTTGGAGATATTGAGAATTACACTACAACACGTTTGGAGGGCATCTATTTGGGAAAGGCTTTTTAGATGATACTGTCCATCTACCTTTCAAGAATATGAGACAGAAATGTTTTTATTACTATGACTGACAGAACTGAGATCATAAAATGAAACTGCAATGTTCTGCATTTTGCATCAGCTACCAGATTATAAATTAATGATTTTATTCATATCAATTTTTTAACTGTCCGGTCTGATACAAGGAAAGAGCAAGAGGGAACTAAGTCTATGCACTAATTGTTTTTAGGAAAGGAACATAATTAATGAAAAGCAAAAAATAAAAAGCAGTATAAAAACTGGTATTACATGTAACCTAACTCATTGGGACACACATAAGAATACTGAAACTAGCTTAGAATAAAAGAAAATGCAAGCGTTACAAATACTATATACTTTTGCAACTGGATATAATTCATTACAATAAGAGTCAGGTAGTTAGTGTGTGTAACCCTTTACGTTAGCTTCTATATAAAGCACTGTAGCTTATAGAACACTTTTATTTTATGTATCATTAACTGAACTAGAAAAACCACAGTAATATATCCATTACCGATGAGTTCACCGAACAACCATTGTTCTTAAAGTATTTTGCCTTTAGCAATGAAAGCATTTAATCTGAAGAGCAGAGACCCTTGCCAAATTTTGCTTTTCCTTCATGGAGATAGCCTCCAGACTCCCTTTCTACTGCATAACTAATAACCACATTGCATCATACCAGCCTCCACACTTTCTAACCAAAAATGACAATCCCACAATGAGTATCAATGTCTCAGAGTATTACCCTGGCTCAACACAGCTCCATGTAGTACAATAGTGTTAATACATGACAGCTTTGTGCATCATGTAATCATACCCTGTTAGGCTAATTCCTACATTTTGTCTGTATCGATACCTTGGTTGATCTCAGGAAGTTAAGCAAGGTTGGTCCTGTGTCTTAGTTCCTTAGCAGACTACCAGAAAATACCAGGCCTGCAGATTAGACTAGGAAAATGAAAATCCTGGGAAAAAAGCATTTGTAAACTACTTCCATATTGTTGTCAACAATTTTTATGAAAATGTCCATGAAGTCACCAAGAATTGAGACTAACTTTAAGGAAGTTATTTATATTTCTAGTATTTATTATAAACACTACTTTTCTGAACATTGTTACTCAATAATTTTGCCAGTTTATCAACCTGATGTGCTTGCATGATACCCCTGCAAGAAACAGTGTAAAACTGTGTGTCTGAACTTGCACTAGGGCTGCGGGTGGCATATTCACAACTTAACCACTTTAGTGCTAGCTCAGCAAATATTAATGTTGATATTTAAAGATGCACTAGCTCTCCAAATAGTACTAATCAAACACACATCTTCACATTGCACAACCTTATTTCTCATTTAAATGATAATGCAGAATTATTAGAGTACAATACTGCAAAAATTTCAGTTCATAGTCATCAAACAAACCCCTTGGTTATCTCACTGCTGTAGAACGTATTTACTGCTGCTGATCCAAGAAATGGGCCAACAAGTATATGTTCAGGTTCACCTAGTCCTACCTTAATCAAGTTTCTTGACAGAGGATCCAATTTTATCTTTCCTTTTAGGATCTTGACTTTATGCAAACAACATGGAACAAGTTATAATCCTTAAATAAGATCATAATCTGACCAAATTTAAGATTCAGTGTTTTGGTGGAAAAGTTTAGGACATGCTTAAATTAATGTGACACAAAGGTCCTAAGCTATAGCCCTTTCTCTATAAAAGAGAACTGACCAGCAATTAATATAGTTAAACCAGGGTCAGTATTTAATTTATTAATGTTTTAAACAATCTTCTCCTAAGAAGCCATCTAGGAAATGTAACAACAAAAAATTATTAGATAATGATATCTAATGTGAATTAGATAAATACCTAATCATCATTTTGTAATGTTGTAAAATAAATACTTAAGGTCTAAATAATTATTAATTTTCAAATTCCTTGTTCTGCTCCCCAGGTTGGGAAAACTTTTATGTTTCAACAAAAGAAATGCTGAATTTGCTGTGATTCATTGAAAAATACTGCCAGAAGCTGCACAATACAAAATTTACAAATTATCTGTCTTTTTAAAATGTTGGTTCATTTACTGTTGGATTATTTTCAGTTGAAAACCTGATCCGTCTCTGATTTACAACTGTCTACAACTGACTTCACTGAAACTAAGTAAGTTTAGCAGGATGAGTAAGCTAATTGATTGGACATAAATCAGCCAAGCATTTTAAGAGTTTCTACAGGGGAGAAGCTCCATGAGCCCTAATGATATAAACCAGTTTTAGCCTAACAGAGTAACAAGTGCAAAGCAAACCTTCCTCTGGGTCTACAGAGGCATTTTAATTTGAAATTGTCCCCAGGGCACACTGTGAATGGTTACACATGCAATTTGGTGACTTTAAATTCCCTGTGAGATGCTGCAAAATAGGGCTTCCAGAACAAGAGATGCGAAGCTTCTTTTTTTAACCTAGCTTCCTCCTGGTCTTGTCCTGATTTGCTGGGTCACGACTCGCGCCGTCCCCCGTGTGAAGCGCACCTTGGCTGGGGTGCTGGTGTTTATACGTTTCCTTACCTTGCTCCAAGTCCTGCTGGTCGTACCAGGGTTCCTCCTCCTCACTCTGAAACTCCTCCATCCTGTCTGCGCTTAGCATGAGCTCTACCCCGCAAACATCCAAAACTGAGCTGTGAGCAAAGAAAGGCCGACCTCTCAAAGATAATACTGTACTGCAGAGTGAGAGAGCATCAAGGGGTGGGAAGAAAACGGAGGCGGGAGGAGACCAAAGGGGATGTTTTCCAGGAGACCGACGCTGGTGAGGGCAGGAAGCGACCAGTCGCCAGACTTTAAGGCGGGAATCGGCGAGGATGACCCACTGAGGCCGATCCCGGGAGTCCTGAGGCCGAAACAATGGCTTTGCAGATGTTCTACTGTAATCAGTGCTGCTGCGTCGGTACCCCCATGCTCAAAGATTTTTCCCCACTGTCTGCATCACCTTCCTTCTCTTTTCATCTGCTTTCCGCCAAGGAGAAAGGGAGGGAGCAGGAAGGCCAGGGACGTGGCGCACGAATATCCTCCCCCTTTCTTGTCCTCCGCGCTTTCTGAAAAGAGAGGACAGGTGCTGCGTCTTTGTTACGGATGGAAATCCGGACCTGAATGCTGCAGGGCTGTTACTTGCAGCGAGTTCACTGGGTGATGCACAAAAGAAAGAGCAAGCTTCCTATGCAGCCAGTTCCGACTTGTGCAGCTCGGTGGAGACCTCTAGCATGGAACTGCTGCAAGAAAATCCATGCCAAAGACGTGGAAGCAGGAGGGGAGAGGGAAGGAGGCGGGAAGGGAGGACGACAGACCTCCCTCCTTGTCTTTTTCTCCCCCGTTCTCTTCATCAGAGGAATTCTAGACGCATTTTAGCTACTAGGCGGATTTGAGGCTTGCATTCCGGCAGGATTTGGAGAGCAGGGGCGGAGTCCCTAACGGTGCCAGGCGGGAAGCGTTGGGTGGGGGGCACCTATACCCACCCGTTGAAATCTGGACCTCTTGCTAGTGGAAGTCTTCGCCATTGTTATTCTCTGGGGAAATCTTCGCTGTTGCTCTTGCTGCGGTAAAAGAACCGCCCGACTGGAAAATGTCCCGATGGTTTTCGAATCGCTAAATTAGAAGGGGCATTTTTTTACAGCTGAAGAGACAAATAGGAGAGGGCACAGAGTAAAGAAATAAGATGGGTGGGTCGCATTTGTCGGTGGCAAGGCTCTATCGGTTGCCCCGGGGTCTGATTTTTTGTATTTGCTCAACCCACATAAGAGTATCGTTGTTGCGAGTATTGTTGAGGGTACCCTATGTTGAGCCAGAGAGCTTCATTTTCCGGAGTAACTCCCGTTTGCTCAATACCTCAGAAGTTCCTTTTCTTTTAGAAATCGAACACCGGCTCTGGGCCCAGGTCAGCACATTACACTGTCGTGCCTCTGCTTCCCATCTGAAAAAATGGAAATGAGGGGTTATCATAAGGATCAGCAGAATTAGCCTCAGGGATCTAGCCTTATATTTGTGCCAAGCAAAACCTACCTAAACCAAATACGCAAATATTTGGTTTGAAAGTGTCCTTATTTGGGAACCTCGTATCATTACTTTTAATCTTCTCATACCTTCTTGGACTTGAGCAAAAGCTGAAGTCTGTCTTAGCCTGGGTCCTGGTCCTATTTCTTCATACAGAAATGACCTTAACGAGAACAACAACATATTTAGGCTCACCCTCTTTCATTACTGAAGCTAGATGTTGCTTTTTTCCCAGTTCTTTTTGGCTTGGGTGGAGTTTTCTTTCAAAGATGCCAGAAACAGAACAAAACCCCACCCTCTTACTAGCTAACCTGAAGTGCAACTAGGAAGAATTTTCTGTCCTTTACTACGAGCCACAGGAACAATGGCATCTCTCTCTTGGCATGGGAAAGCTTAGTTTGGCTTGAATTAGATAGAGGATCCTAGCACCACCAGACAGAAGGCATTGTGCAAATCTTCTGTCTTTCCTACTTAAAGGCCTTTTTGTGGAAAGAAAAAACTAGCAGTGAGAGGATTACAAATGGAAGATCGTGGTCACTTTCAGCTGGACTGTGATTGCAGAATAATGCCTCTAACTATTTTAACATGTCAAACTAATCTGTTCTACTTCTTCATTCTTCTGTCAAATAACTTTGTTTTTGTTTTTTGTTTTGTTTTGTTCTTATTCCTGAAGACAGGACCCATGTGTCATGTTTTATTACTTATTTATTTTATATCCTGCCTTTCCTTCAGGAGCTCAAGGCAGCATTGGTAACCCTGCAAAATAGGTTGGGCTGAGAGAGATTAACTGGCACAGGGTAACTCAGTGAATTTCCAAGGCTGAGGGTGGACTTAAATCTTGGTTGTAGTGAGCAGTTTTGGAAGATGATCTTGCTCTGAAAATACTAAAATGTTATAAAATAAATTAGATATATTTATAAATCAGACATATATATTTATAATATCAGCAATATTCATTGCTATCCGATGCCTTTGGAGAAAACATGGTGTCAAGGAACTAAAAAAAAAAAAGTACTAATGGAGATGGCAAATATTGGAAGAGAAATGGCTGCAGCAGAGATTAGCTAGTGACCAGAAGGGAGTGGGCACATCCATGGTTCCCAATATTCCCAACATACACCTCTGACCATTTCCAAAGCAGATAATTTAACCTCATCTCCAAGATAACAGGTGGTATTGTAAAGCATAACAGATTTTTCACACCTTGTCCCTGTTATGGAATAGTGTTGGCATGATGGGAGAAGCTGTAGACTTCGTGTTTCATTCACGGGCTGGGGGTGAGATGAGGAAAACATTGTATGACTGAAGGGAAAGATTGGGTCCATACATGATAATACTACTGTGACTGGGGATAGGGCCTAACTAGCTCAGAAGAGGCTAAACAGCCTTAATTCTGAGAGGTATGGAGGTAGACTTATTAATGTGTGCAAAATCTTCATTATGTCAATAGACCAAATATTTGGTCCTTACTTTCATTGACAGGGCTTTTTCACCCATGAGACCATGATTTGCCTTCCGTTAATACATATAATAAAATCTGCATTTCAAATCTGGTCCTGCATTACAACATTTGTACCTGAACCTAGTCTGTGGGAGACTTTGAAAGGATGTAAAAGCACTCTTACTCAAATGCTGCTTGAGACAGTGGAAAACTATTTGGTATAGGATAAAAAGCTTTTTCTTTGTTCTGGATAATCTCACTAGTTCAACATGAAGCATTTAATTAAATATGGTGTTGCTGGATGATGCAGCTGAGATTTATTTTAAAAATTACAGTGAAGGCAGTTTGAGAATAAGAATAAGCAGACCAGGATTGTATGATCTAGGACAGAGGTGTATAGGTAGCCCAAGAGGCACATGTGCCCTCAAAAGCCTCGAATTCAACCCCAAAATCACTTCAAAATTTGTGCCAAACTTAATTTTAATCAAGTTTAAATTAAATTAAGTCTGTTAGACTCAGTAATAAATCACAGATTGGATACTTTATGGCTTAATTCAGATCCTTGGCATAACTAGACAAAAATCTCAAAAGACAGAGCTAGGCTAGATAAGAATCTTTATTGCAAGAATAAATAATAAAGACAAGAATGAAGCTACATAGAATAGATGATTCCAAGTGTAATGTTGGAAATATACCCTGTGTTTTAAACATAGTTATTCTTTCTCTTCTTCCCATGAATTAAAAGACTCTTGGCATTGCACTCAGTGGCCCTGAAGCAGAGTAGTTATTGCATGCTTATATAACTGCCATTTCTAGTTGGAGAACCACTGGTTCCAGCCTCAGTCTTTACTCTATTCCCCTCTCTGGGCTCCATCCTATCCCTTTCAGGCCTCTCTACCCTATCTCCTCAGCCAAGCCAGGAATGGGGGCGCTACTTCCATCTCTTCTACTTCGTCAGGAACTACCCCATTTCAGAACTTTCCACTTCTCCCCCTTCCTGACATCCCCCTTCCTGACTTGAGATAGAGGGAAGGAGAGGTCTTTTCTTTTTCTTTTTTAAAGAAAAAGGGTCAGGAAGGATCAGAATTACACTTTTGCCCAGAGTCAGAACTACTGGTAGGTGCAGAAACTTTATTGCAGAGCCATTTGGGCAGCTTGTCGCTGTGAGGGTCTTGCAAATGGAACTGTCAAAGGAGGCAAGGTAGATGACTATTGTATACCATCTCCCAAGAATGCTTGGTGCTGGGGTAGGCCTTCCAAAAGAACTCAAGAGTGTAAAATACACTACTGCAAATTTTCCTTCCCTCCACCAAGATGCAGGAATGAGTAGAGGTGGGCAAAGGTCAAGGAGGGCATTCCAGGACCAGAAGGGAACAATGGAAAATGAGGGTGCATTTTCAGTATGCCTGGAAGTTGCAAATAAAAGCCATAGACCTGATTAATGCTATCACAGAGAATGGCCTAACAAACTGGGCATTCATCTTAGATGGTCACGTGGAGGGAAAATCTGATGGAAAGCTAGGGTTGATCTTCACCACTGATGGGGGCCTTCCTGGTGGTGATGGACAGAAGACCACTTGTAGGAAGGCTTGGCATGAAGCAACTGATCCTTCAGCAAGTGCTGACAGTCTAACATTCTAGAGAAATCATGAAAATTTTGGAATGGGAAAGGGCTGTAGGCAGTTGGCAGTAGGCATGGATAATAGACATAGGCAGCCTTAAAAGATGCCAACTGAATGGAGGTGAGGTAAGCCATGGGTACAAGTTCAGGCCAATTGTCTTGCTGGTAGTTTACATAACAATGAAGGTATTTCCGAAGCTTCTGATATATGGCTGGAAGTGGGGGAGGATATGACAATGAGTAGTGGTGCCTAGCTTTCCAATCCATTCTTTCCAACACAACCATCAGGGCCAAAATATTGCCCATGCTCCCTGTGTGCCCAAGCAGACATGAATTAATGCATCATCATGTCTCGTGTGCCTTGATGAGTTTTCTCTGATTTGATCCAATAGTTCCTTTCTGAATTGATTAGTTAAGGTTTTCTCATCCCAATGCACATCCTGACCTAACTGCTGAAATTTTATCTTGAAGGCAGCAGATCTCATGGTTAACAGTCTCTTGCTTGACTGAATCCTCAGAGATATTTCTTGCAAATTCATATAGTGGCCCAAATTCATACAGTTTTATAATTTCATCAGTCCCTAGGCTAATTATAATCCTAAATGAACTTAGTTGGTGGGGAAGTCATCTGATCTTAGAGAGAGATATACTTCAAGGAAGGCAGTAAAATTGCTTGGATTCTTATTGTAGTTGTCTTGCAGGGATATGTGTATTCAGTGTCAGATGGCTATAGCAGCAGCAGTGTAAGAAAGGATTTTCACACTGATGGTGGCTAGTAACTGTTACATAAACATGATCCAGGTGCACATTGGCTAACCCTCACACAAGAGTGGTTTCTTCCTCATCACACTAAAAGCCTAAGAAAGCCAAAGTCCCCATCAAGGAAGGCAAGGCTAACTCTATTCCTACAGTCTTTCTGGTAAACTCAATATTTATAAATGGTAATATTCAAGAAGATTTGAGTGTCTTGTTTGGCTAACATTACTAAGGTAAATTTCAAACTGGGAAGGGCTGCTATTAATTTCTGCTATTAATAATAATAATTATTGTGATTTTATTAGATGAGATTTTAATTGATGAGTTTTAATATTTAACAACATTGTTAATTTATTTGTATATTATTATTAGCTACTTTGAGTACTTTTGTAGAGAAAAGGCAAGGTATAAATTACCATATTTAATTTTATACTCTGCAGCAGGATCCTATGTATATGCAGAAGAAAGTCTCACTGATGGCACTTACTCCCATTAAGATAAATAGAATTGCAACCAAGTCACTAATATATATTACACCTATAGATATAACATTTAATAATTAACATTTAAACATTAAACATTTAAAAGGGAAGAAACATAAATACATTTTAACAATCCAGATTATGTGTAAGCACATGGAGAGTGATTTATAAAGCAGAATAAGGTTTTAAAAACGTCCCGATTGAATGTTGTGCTGCTGGGAGGGAGAAGGCATGCAGCAATAAATAAATAATGTAAAGGAGCGGCTAACAATGAAAGGAACTGAGGGATCATTTTACAGACCTAGCTCCCTCTGAGGTACAGTGGGGTAAGTGTCTTGCATAGCAGATTTTGAACATAATTAAGGCAGGCAAACATTTATTTTATTGCCATACTGTTATTGTCAAGAATAAAAAATGCTCTTGTAAATTCCTGAGGTCCTATAATAAATCTACCCTGGATAAACCTCGTGGAGTCAATGTAAATAGAAAGTTATCACTAATAAAAAAAAATCAAGATAAAAGGACTGGCACTAGGGAGACCTAAGCTCAAAGCATCCCCAGCACTGCAAGCTCACTGGGTGAATTGGGGGTAGTCACCTTCTCTTGGCCTAGTTCTATCTGCCTCACAGGGTGGTGGTTGTGGGGAAGAATGGGAGGAGAAAGAGGGCCACCTTGAGTTTTTGGGCAAGAGGTGGGATATAAAACCTCAATAAATAAGCATGATTAAAAATACAAAACAAGTGTGCCTAAAAGGAGGAAATAGCCAAGGATCTATTTTCAAGGGGAAGCAGCCAAGAAAAATGTGGGGAAGGGGCCTTGTAGAACTGCATTTCCCCTCATGCCTACCTGGGGTAGCTGACCCCCTTTAAACACAGACTTCCGAGTAACTGGAGCCATGGAGAGGCAGGCAGGCAGCCAGGGGAAAAGGGACAGGCCGAGTCTCAGACGGGTGGGTGGCCGGATTCAGGCGAGGCGGCAGGGGGGTGCTCGCTCGGCGTTGGGGGACAAAGAGACGCCTTCGCCGGTGGGCAAGATGGAGAGTACAGCGCTCGAGCCCAGCGGGACTGGCGAGCCCGCAGGGAGGAAGCAGCCGGCGGCGCCCCGGAGCTGTGGCGGGGGAAGGAGGCGGCTGTCGTGTAACTGGGCGAAGGCGAGGCGGAGCCGCGCCTCTGACGACCAGGAAAGGCGGGATCAGCGCCAGGAATAGCCTCAGCTGCCTTTGACAAGCGGGAGGAGACCAGACAGCCTGCAGGGAACAGGCGGACGGAGCAGCGCCGATGGAGCCCGCCGCGTCCGGCCCAGGAGGCGAGGGGGGGGGGGGTTTGCGGGGCGGGCGGCGGCCGGCGGGGGGGAGGGGGGGGGGGGGGG